ACATATATGAGCACCTATTCAAGGTATCATGCTAAGTAGGACATAATCCAGATTTCATGGAGGTAATAACCTAATTGAAGGAGGAATAAGTAAACAAGCATCCACTATTATGTAACATGAAACTGAGCAACAGAAGTTATCCTTACTTTAGAGAGCTAGGGGAGGGAACAGAGCCCAGTGGCTCTTCACAGGGGGCACAGAATAGAAGCTCCACAGCCAACATTAAGGCAGGTAGGGAAAAGGAGTGGTCAAATAGAAGAAGCTGAGCCTCAGTACAGTGGCTTGGCAATCTCACTGGACTTTTCTTCTGTACATATTTAAATGAACACCTGAGTGTTCATGGGCAGGTAGGGGAATCCTAAGAACAAAGAGCATTCAATTGGTGATAAAGAAGATCAAAGTTGTACAGGATGAGCCTGGCACAAGGCTTGCTGGTTGCCCCAACAGAAGTCTAGGTTATTCAAGATAATGGCAACAGATACAGAAAGAGGAGATTGGTGTAAGAAGAGACAGAGCCTCTCCCTCTCGCTACTAATCAGCGAGAGGATGAGAAAAATGTCTAAGGTCCCAATGTATATCATTAAAGTTACTGCAATTTTATTAACCAAATCAGTCTCAGATTCCTCTTTGTTTAAACTACATAGGGCTTATTTCCCTAGACTGCCAATCCAGAGCACTCACCTCATTCTTTTGCCACTTTAGCAGAGGTCACATCCTACAATGAAAGTTGGAAATGCCAGACTTTCACCTGCTCAGCTTTCCTCACAACCAGCAATGGCGTAAGACTGACACTGAAAGAAAAGTCTCCAAGTGAGCCTCTGCAAAAGGGGACTTTCAGATAAGAAGAAATTGTAAGGACACATGTTCCCTTCTTCTCTGCTTTCTGATGTAGGTAAGGTAGGCATGATGTCTGATGATGTTGCAACCACATTATAAACATGAGGCAGTAAGCCTGATTATCAAAAACCAAACTATTAAGAATACAGAAAGAGGATGTGAGGGAGATCTGGCTGCGACATCTGTCACCCCATTGATCACCAGGGTTGATTCCGCTGATCTGGCTGGCTAGGCGGGTGTCCCCTTCCTCCCTCACCGCTCCATGTGCGTCCCTCCCGAAGCTGCGCACTTGGTCGAAGATGACTACCATCCCCGGTAGAGGACGGGTCTTGGGTCAAGGGTATACGAGTAGCTGCGCTCCCCTGCTAGAACCTCCAAATAAGCTCTCAAGAATACAGAAAGAAAAGATATTCCTTAATGACAAAATTAAGTGGCTCCATCAGCCAATCTCTAAACTTCCTGCTACTGGACAATAGGCCTTATCACTTAAATAGTTTTAGTTGAGTAAAGTAATAATACATGCCAAAGGTACTCTAACTAACAATAATATAATTCACCATTAGGTCAGTTTCTGTCAGACTGATTTTTATACTGCAGAGTTAGCTGGGCTATTAGTCATGAACTATTAGTAAAATTATTAAGATGATGATAATAGTAATGATTAAGGTGAAAACAATGTAATCATCAACATTAAGAACACAGCTAAATTATTAAGAGCTAATGTAAAAAACAAAAAAGGAGATAATGATAAATGAGATTTAAAAACTGTGATCTAGCACCAGCAGAGGCACTTCTTGGAGCCAGGAGCAGAGAAGGGGAGAGATTAAATGTACAGATGATTCAAAGGAGAGGAGGATGAGGCAGACTTTCTCCACCAGCACAAGTTATGGACAAGATTACCTAAAAATCCTTCTCAACAAAAGTCAAAAGTTCTAGATATGGGGGTAGGGAGGTAGAGAGAGGAAGGGATAGTATGGGGAAACAAAGGAGGCGGCAACAATGCTTGATAAGAAATGCACTCACTATCTTGCCCATGTAATTGTAACCCCTCTGTATGGTAGTCCTACAATAATAAAAAAGTTCTAGATAAAATATATGTAACATCTGTTCAAGGTGTAGCTAAATTCACAAGAATTTAAAAGTCCCCAAGGATCAAAAACCAAAAAGTCTAAAAACTAGTGGAGAAAGTATGTATAAGCTGATCATTGTTGTAGCAGCCTAGGACTTTGGGGAAAGGGAAATGGCTGATATATAAAAAGGACACTTGTCCTTTGGGGTATTACAGAACAAAAGAAAAAGAAAGGATACAACTAGCCTAATATTTACTGTAACTCTTGAACGCAATGATAGCTCCTGTGTATTTTTCAAAACCATTATTTTATTCTTTGTGAAACCAATCCCAGGATTTGTGCTTTTAAAAGAATGCCCAAATTACATATTTACATATTACAAAGATTTTCTTGGACATTCCCCACAGGCTTGTAATCAAATAAATGGATATAAATTACTTCCCCTAAAAAATCATACATTGACCAGCTTTTTTAGATATTACAAAAAGAATCATTATGCAATATACTCATAATCATACAAAAAGTTTTTTTAAACTTAGATTGCATTATATGCTTCTAGTAACTATGCTACCAACAAGTTTCAGAATAACTGATAAGTCACATAAAAATATCATTTCTGACCTAATCTTATGGCCCTCTACATTTGGGAGTTATTTCGGTAAAGGGAAATGGCAATAGATGTGCTGGATGACTGAAGGGAATGCCAGGCTCAGGTCTCCAATCTTAACCACTCAGGAGGCTGAGATCTGAGGATCGTGGTTCAAAGCCATCCAAAGCAGGGAAGTCTGTTAGACTCTTCTCCAACAAACAAACAAAAAAGCCAAAAGTAGAGTGGTGGCTTAAGTGGTAGAGTGCTAGCCATGTACAAAGTAAGTTCAGGGAAAACTCCAAGGCCTTGAGTTCAAGCCTCAGGACTGCCTTAAAAATAAATATAAACAAGAAACTAAGGGAAAGGTCCCGAATACTAACAAGAGAAGCAAGTCCAGCCCACAGCTAAAAGCCAGCAATGTTTCATGCCTTTCCACACCTCTCTGTAAGGTGAAGACATCACATTTTCATGCTGGCTTTCTCACTGGGACAACTTAAATTCAAATTCTATTAACCTGCTTCCACGATTCGATTCACTTAAAAAAAAAAAAGTATGATACCTCTTATTCTTGGCAATCCAAACAGACCACGAAGTCCCAACACACGGTTTGTATTATCTTCACAAAGGATTTGTCTCTGCTGTGTGCCCCTATTTACATAAGGCTGTACCTTTCAACCTAGCGCTGCTCGTGCACTGGATTGGCACAGTGTTTTGTGCTACTTCTTGAATATTTTTTGACAACCTACGGGCTACAAGGTTCAAGACTAAGCATTTACTCTGCAAGGCCACTAAATGCTGGGGGAAATAATTAACTCGGCGATCAAGAACCCAAGTGTGGAAGGACAGGGCTTGGCCCGGGCTCTCCCTCTCACGCTGGCACAGTCCCGGGAGGACCGGGTCGCTTCCCCGGAGCCCGAGAATAAAGCACGAGTTAGCAGGACAGGGAGGCTCCGAGGAGCGCGCTGCATTGTGGGACTCGTTTCCACAGTTACCCACGTGCATCCAACCCAACCGCGGCCCGGCGCGGCCCGGACTACAAGTCCCAGAATTCCACGAGCCTGCCTTTTCCCCTTCACACCGGCGACTGGAGCCAGACCCTAAAGGAAACCCCAAAAGCGCCCTTCCTGCATTCTGGGGAGAGGTCGCGCCCCCCCCTCCCCAGGCCCTGCGCTGGGCCTCCAGCCCAACCCTCCCCACAGCAAGGCGGATCTCCAGGCCAGATCCTCCACACCTGATGGTCAGAAATTAGACAACTGCGTCACAGACTGCCAAACCCACGGTCCGCCCGAGACCCTGACACCTCCCTTGCGCAAACACCCCACCCACCTACGCTCCAGGGCCAGACCCCCCCCCTCCGGTCACGGCCGTGGAAAATCCGCAGCCCGCGTCCCTGCCCCGCCTCCCAGTCCCGCAGCCCGCGCCCGGGTCAACACTGACCTCGCTTCCCGCCGCTCGGGGAGAGCCGCGGCCACAGCCAAGCTCCAAGCTCCAAGCTCGGGACACCTCCCCCCCCCGTCCCCTTCGCCGGCGCCTCGGCCCCGCCCCCTCCCCACCGCGCACCCCGGGGCCTGGGAGCCCGCCTCCTCCCCTCCGCGCACCCCGGGGCCCGGGGCTGCCCCTTCCGCCGATCCAGCCTCGACTGGGGAGTCAGCACCTCCCCGCAAGCACACAGTCCAACACCTCCAGCCTGGCGCGGACGAGTGTGGGCACGGCCGTGCCTCAATCGCTCCCCACCTCCCCTTCCTCCCGAACTAGCTCTGCACTCCCACCCCGTCTCCTCTCCCCCCGGCCCCCGGGCTACCACCTCCCATCTTCTCCCCGGCTCACCCTACCGTCCCAACACCTGTCCCCAACCCCTTCCAATTCCCCTCCCGCACCCCGGACTCCCCAACTATTCCGTCGCACCCCCGTGCCTCACACTACCTCGCCCTCCCGTTACATCAGCCCTGGTCCCCCTCGCCCGCCCCCTGCCCCGGCTCGGCCGCTGCCCGGTTCCCGCACCCCATTGTTCCCCCCACCCCCGCCACCCACTCCTTCTTCCCATTGTCCCCGCCCCCGCGCTCGCTCCCCTCACACTCACCCGCCTTCCTCACAGGGCCGCCCGCACCGCTCACCCCTGCGCCCCGCGCTCTCGCTCCCTCCCTCCCTCCCTCCTCTCCCACTCCGGGGCCACAGCCGGCCCAGCTCGCCCGCGCCCGCAGCTGCCTCCACCTCCCTTCACCCCGGACACTGGGGTCCGGGACCTTCATCGCACGTCCCGCCCCCTCCCCCCGGCCCTGAAATGGAGCCCGTCCCCACCCCCTTCACCTCCGCCCTCCTTCCCCCACCTCCCCCCACGCCCGCCCGCAGCGTCACCGCCCGCCCCGGCCCCAGAAGGGGAAGGGGTGGCTCCCGGGCAGGGGTTCCCGGCTGGTTTCGCGACACCGGAGGCGTGGGGCGGGGACAGCGGGAACCGAGGGGAGAGTGCAGGCCATCGTTCGGCCCGCTCAGCCTCCGCTACTCACTGACAGCGGCGGCATCCGAGTGCATTTTCGGGCAGCTCACACCCAGCTCGCCGCCCCGACTCCCGCGCTTGCCTCGCGGTTCCCCCACCGGCTCTCCGCACCTCGGCTTGGAGCTGAGGACCGGCCACCTATAGCTCCCGGACCGCCCATCTCGTCTTTCTCATTGGCTGGAGCTCGGCCGAGGGACCGCCCCTACTCGGCTCTCATTTGTGGAAAGCAGTGCCGGTGGCACCGGCCTGGAGCTGGCAACCAGGCTCCGCCCCCCGAGGTGCACTACGATTGGTTCTAGCTCCTCGTTTTGGTCACGCCCCCAGCGGAGGCCACGCTCTCGAGCCGCAGGTTGGAGCCGGTTGCTGTCACTCATCCCCGGGGGTCCGAGAGCGCGTGTAGGGGCGAGGCTGGGGAATTGGTCCACCTTGACCCTGAAGCTCCGCCCTGAGGCGACTTGGATTGGTGGACCTGGGGACCAACCGAGGAAGACGTGACGGCGTCCGAAACAAAGCACGCGAAATGCTGCCCGCGGAACGCGAGCGGGCGAGCGGACGTGCTGGGCTCGCTGGAATCTCACTCCCGGGGGTAAAGCAGTCGGCCCCTCCCTAGCGCCGGCGCGAAGCACCTGGGTCTCGGCCGCTGGCCCGGCATCTCCCACCGCAGGCCCCGCACAGCGGCTCTGTCCTCACTCAGCTTGGACTGGGACGTCTCTTGCCAGCTGCTTCCTACTAGCAAGGAACTGGGAAAAGAATTGCTGCGTCTTTATTTCCAGTGGATCCTTCTAGTGGGAAACAATTACGTTTCTCCTACAATCAGCTTCTATCTCCCCCGTTTCGCAATGCATTTATTTTTCCAGAGACATCATATCTCTTCTCCCTTTCTCCCCCTTTAACGGCACAAACGGGCTGTTAACGGGCTGGGTGCTTCAAGCCTTGTTCAGACAGTTCGTTCAGGCCTCCAAATAGCATCAAGACTCTCCCCCACCCCCACCCAGGGCTGTGCTCATCCAAGAAAACCTAAGGTCACTGTCACCCAGCAGCTGTCAGGGGGAAAAAAGGGGGGGGGAACCTTGGAAGGTCTTAATAGAGATGAACACTGATCCTTAAGTTTCCTAGGTGAAAAAATTGGCACCATTTTTATGAGTTCTGCCCTGACTTTTAAGTATATGAAACCAATACTTTGAGATGATCACCGAGCGCGCATGCGCGCGCGCACACACACACACACACACACACACACACACACACACACACGGAATTTTTTTTAATCAGGACATAAATGATACAATTAAAAAGATATTTGAAAGGAAGAGGTCAAAGCAGTCGTGTTCTGCATCACCTTGGTTGTAATATGCTTCATACCTCCTGACCCCAATTCCTCCTAATAAATTAAATCCTTGTAATTTTATCTCTATGACGCCTTTATCATCCAAACATTTATGAATCACCTGATCGAATCCAAAATCTCAGAACTGTAGCTGAAGTGACCAGTGCAAATCTTCTCAAGACCAGAGCCTTTCATAGACAAGAACCTTTCATAGAGCACCCTTTCTAGTACCTTTAATATGGTAAGTAAGGGATCCTAAGAAGAAAACCTGCTTTTACTCCAAGATCAAGATGCTCCTGCATTCTTTATTCCACTTGTATTTGCAACCAAATCTGCATCCAGGAAGCAAAAATGTATTTTATACAAGTTTTTAATCTCTTGTATGTAGCATTTGTATGTGTAATGGTTGAAGTGTTGTTACTTTTTTTTATCACAGTGTCTCAGGATTAAGACACTATTCTCAACGCACAAGAAGAGAACTGCTTCATGACACTCCTAAAGTAAGTCCACAATTTGCTTTAGTTATCCATTTGCTATACTGAAATGAAAGTTTATAATTGTATAATTGAATTCTGTGAAGCATCTGCCTGCTGCTTTTTCCCTCTCAGCACACCCTTGGCACATAAATGATTTCCTTAAAGCTGTATAGACTATGCCATCTTCATTATTTATCATTATACCTGTTAGTTGGGTCAGTGTAATTATTTTCACATGAACTACACAATAATTTGCCCAGACGGCTATAATAGGTCTGCTGTACATGCAAGGTTCAAACTGCTAAGATCTCTGCTCCTCATATTTTATAAGTAATAAAAAAGTATAATAAAATGAATACATGATACTCTACAAGTATTAAAGTCATTGTAATCCACAGGATTATAAACCTTTCAGGTCAGGAAACTTGTTATAGTTATCTTTATCATCCTAGTATAGCAGGCCCTAGTTCATTGTTCCTAAATGTGAACTGAAAGTTGCTTAAGGTGAAATTTTATATCTGGTAGCAACTTTGGAGATGATCAAATCCAACTTCCTCATTTTAAGAAAATGAGACTTGAAGTTCAAAAGAATTAAATGTATGATCCAAGTCACTTGGAGTTAGTAACAAAGCAGACATTAAAAACTCAAGTTCCCAACTCCCCAGTCAATCCCTGTCCCCAGGATACATGCTCAAATATTACAAGCTTAAGTTCCAAACATAGCTAATATGCTCCCCTTTCTGATTTGAAGTCTTTGGTTCATATTTGGGATATGGCCTTTTTATGAAATCCCTTAAGGAAATTTTTCCCAATCTACAGTGCACTGTTTAACTTTTCTTCCCATTGGTAACATTCTACTTCTATGCATTTATAATGTTATATTTCTATGTATTAATATTCAAATCTCAGGATGGGGAATTAATGATTGAGTGTCTTAGGATTGAGATGGGTAGAGATATTTGGAGATACATCTATGTCATTTCTTTTTACTTGGTTAGTGCCTTAGGGTAATATTGAAGCATATTACTTCATATTAAGTGTTACCTGATTTCGTTGGGCAATTTTCTAATTTTGTGTGCGTGCACGCATGCACACATCTCCTGGGGCTTGAACTCGGGGCCTGGGCACAGTCCCTGAGTTTCTTTTGCTCAAGACTAATGGTTCCACCACTTAAGCCACTGCTCCACCTCTGGCTTTTTTGGTAGTTTAATGGAGATGAGTCTCACATAGTTTCCTGCTCTGACTGGATTCAACACTCGATCCCCAGTCTCAGCCTCCTGAGTAACTAAGATTAATAGCACAGGGCTATTAATTTTAATCAGATATATTTGGAAATAGTCATAACCTAGATTAGATCTTTGTATGGAAAATTCAAGCAAGAAAAGAATAGCATGAATGATTGTCTCTCCTTATAGTCAAGTTAATATATACCCCCACATACTTCACATATTTGTTTATAAGGATATGGATGTGAATGTGATTTAAAAAGATAGGGAACCCAGATGTTAATTGGCTTAAACTTCTAAACTCTTCAACCAGGTTTCAACTTCTGAACTCTCAGGTACCTTTGTAGATGACTCTATTATGGAAAGGATGAATCAGAAAAATTACTTCCTGATTACAGATCCTTCTTTATCTATGCTTTTGATCTTATTTCAACAACAACTCTCTACTTTGTAGTAGTTTTAATGATATTATTTATCCAGGGTACGAAATGAGGTTCTGCTGAATATGATACATTCTCTACTTTGATATTTCATCTGAAAAGGAGCAACCCCCTTCAGTCTTATTGGAATTAACCTTTTAACCAATGAGGACTGACTGTGCTATTTGAAAAACCGCTTCATCTGTCTAGCTTTTCATAACAGAATGTCATTGGAACATATGCTGCTTTTCATACATATACATAGAAAAGCAAATAGCTGCTTGCTAGATGCTATGAGAATGATTAAAAATGTTGATTCCACTTTTCAGAATCTGCATGTAGACAGGTCACAATTATAGAGTCAATGTGAACAAACAGAGGTGTATGTCCTTGTCCAGCAACAACATCTTAACTAACATCCTCATACTAACAACATGGCATGGCCTGCTTTTTTCCCTGCCTGTGTCTAAGTCAGAAAACTGACATTTAAGCACAAGCACATGACTGCTTTCTAATCTTTCTAGTACAGTTAAGCATTATTGAATTGATAAATTACTGGAGTGGGGGGCATATTAATAGAACTCCTTTGTGAGTGTGTGTGTGTGTGTGTGTGTGTGTGTATGTGCTAGTCCTGGGACTTGAATTCAGGGTGTGGGAACTGTCCCTGAGCTTATTTGCTCAAAGGTAGTGCTCCACCACTTGATTCATAGCTCCATTTTCAGCTTTTTGATGGTTGATTTCCCTATCTGGGCTGCCTCCAAACCATGATCCTCAAATCTCAGAATACTGAGTAGCCAGGATTACAGTTGGGAGCCACTGGTACCCAGCTAAGACTTTTTTTTTGGTCGTGGGGCTTGAACTCTGGGTGTGGGCGCTGTCCCTCAGCTCTTCAGCTCAAGGCTAGCGCTCTACCGCTTGAGCCACAGCACCACTTCCAGTTTTCTAATGGTTTATTGGAGATAAGAGTCTCATGGACTTTCCTGCCCAAGCTGGCTTTGAACCACAATATTCAGATCTTAGCCTCCTGAGTGGCTAGAATTACAGGCGTGAGCCACCAGTGCCCAGCTTGCTTGCTTGCTTTCTGTCTTTCTGTTTTTTTTTCTTTTTTTCTTTCTTTCATTTTTTTTTTTTTTTGTCAGTCATGGGGCTTGAACTCTGGGCCTGGGCATTGTCCCTCAGCTCTTCAGCTCAAGGCGAGCGCTCTACCACTTGAGCTACAGCGCCACTTCCGGTTTTCTGGTGGTTTATTGGAGATAGGAGTCTCGCGGTCTCTCCTGCCCGGGCTGGCTTTGAACCGCCATCCTCAGATCTCAGCCTCCTGAGTAGCTAGGATTACAGGCGTGAGCCACCAGCGCCCGGTATTTCTTTCTTTCTTTCATAGCAGCCTCTATTGAGGCATTCCTCCAAGTCACAAACAAACACTAACACGTGAAATTGACAGAAACCTTCTTAAATCAACTCTTGGCTGGGCTTTTAGCCTAGGGAGTATTTTTGCCTTTTTTTTCCTCCTTTTTTACAAAATAGTGAAGATCATAAGCTCTGCCACATAGGGATGCTGTGAGCAAGCGGCAAATGGAAAGTATTGAGTGAAGAGATTAGAATTCTCGGACCCTAGTGATGTTTCATTGATCCCACACAAATCATGCAGTTGTTAAACGTACTGTTGCA